CAAAAATTTTAAAAATTCGACAAATTTTCAGCAATTTTTTAAACTTTTTATTCAGAATTTTGAAAAAAATTTCTGGCATGCAGTTTTGTAGCCCATTCATAGAAAACAAAATTTAAAAATTAACAGTATTTTGTAGCCAATCGAAACTTGATCTTTGTTATCCTAAAATTGAATGGGATACAAAACTGCGTATCAGAAATTTTTCTACAAATTCTGAATAAAAAGGTTAAAAATTTGGTGAAAATTTTTGTATAAAGTTTGAAAAGGGGATTTATATGGTGTTTATTGTATATATAGCTAGACAGGCTTTTATAAAAAAATATGAAACATATAATAAACCATGGAAATATAGCCAAAACTCTTCAAAGTAAGGCGAGTCTATTCTAATTACCGCCAGTGTATATATGTAAATTCAAACATTTACCCCCAACTTCACATTTTTCACATTTTACGATTATTTTTCTCTGCATCCTCTCGCCACTGTAACGGTTGTGTGAACGTCTTCTTAAATGTTAATGACGTTGAAGATGTGTTAATCATCAAAACAACTAAACAAATTTATGCATACATAATACAAATATTAAGAGCCAATTCTCCGTAACCGCCAACATGAATATCGTATCACGTCGAGACAACATCATTATTAGCTGAGAAAACGTGCACAAATGCAATACATACACACTTCCTTAGATATATATGGCTAAGAAAAATGTACATGGCAGCCAGTTTTCTTGGCACATATTTACTACATACAATAAAAAAGTCGGCCAAAATATGTACAAATGCAGAAATCTCGACGCTAAGGCCGACTCGAAGCATATGCTGCTCACTCGCTGCATGAATGCCACTGCATATTGCATAACATTTAGATAAATCGCTTGAGTCACATTGCTACATAAACAAGTGTATGTACATTAGAATGTCTCCCGCAAAAAAAGTTGCTGCTTATATATGGCGCCGAACAAAAAAAAAAATATATTTGGTGTGGTGGTGTTCTACGCGTTCAAAATACACCTACAAGTTCCGTTTGACTCATGAAATTTTTAGCTGAAACCCAGGCTTCTTAAGCAAGTAGCATCATTGAACTAAAAACAATTTGTGTGTATTTTTATTTAGATTTTTACTCTAATAAATAAATATTTTTGTGGAAGGTTGTCGCCTGTGTGAAAAGTTTAATTTAATTATTAAGATAAATTAAATATGGCAATATGGGTATCAAACTAAAGAGGTTTAGCAAAATTTACTGCCAAAACTATTTCTGAGGGAGGTTGCCACCTGTTTGAAAAATGTTTATTCATTTTAATTTATAAAATAAATCAAATATTACAATACTGGTCATAAACTAAAGATGTTTAAAAAGTTTACTGTGGAACATATGCTTGAGTTGCCACCTGTTTGAAAATTTTAATCCAGTTAAATCGATAAGGTAAGATAAATATTGAATTAGTACAACTTTGAAGAAAGTTTGCGATACATAGACTCGAGTTATAAGATTATAAATTAAATTTACAGTATACCTTCGAAAATATATTAACTAACACCCACATTTATAAAAAATAAAGAATGCTCCTTAAATCGAAAATTTGTTTGAAAATCTCCCTTCATAAGCTCTTTAAATCTATTTTATTTTTTAGGAATGAGGCCCTAAGATTTTTGGGACGGAGTAACAACACAAAAATACTTTTAAAGCGCAGTGAAGCCGGGTTGGCATTTTTGTTAGGTGTTTGGCCGAGCTGCTCCAGTGTCTGGTAGACGGCTTGATGATGTAGGCAGAAGTATACTCGAAAGCTTTCCATTGCTTGCCGAGGAGCGACCGCTTTCAAAAAAACTTGTCAGTGTTGCCAGAGTTTTTTTTTTCAAAACACTAAGATTCAAACACATTTTTTTTTCGACCAAAAAACTGTAACCTTCAAAACCCAAGGTAGTTTTTACAAAACTAAGGTTTTTGAATTACATTAAATGTAAATAAAAAACGCTTAATATAAAATAAAATACATAAACCGTTTAAACAACAAGTAATTTTTAAGTAAAAAACCAAACCGACTACAATTCTCATATAAAAATTTAAGAATACCGTTAATTTCTTCATGAGCCAACTATCAGAAATTACCATGGGACCATCACTGAGTAGTGACAGCCTCCTAGGCTAGATTTGAATGTCAAAACTGGTTTTATAGTTTGTAATTTCACTTGCCTCTAGCTCAGTTTAGCGTGTAGTAAAAAACTTCTGAAACACATTAGGGGTCTTCACACCGAGCTTATTACTCGGTAACTTGGTGTTGCGTAATTTTTCCCCATATATTCTGTTTGTGTGCGGCGGCCTCTGTAGTGCAGTGGAAACTATTTAATATGTAAATTTATAATACAGTTTAGTTTATAATTCAAATGCCTTCATGCCATGTATTCAACCATCTACATCTACATCATTGTCTTTTTGAACATGTGATGAAATATGTTGAACACTTCCGGCTTTAAACTTGATCATCTTTTAAAGAAACTAAGTTTTAACGTATCCACTTCTTCGTGGCATTTTCTTTCCAGATCGGTAATTTGTTGTGTTTTATCGCTGAAGCTACGATGAATACGAAGTTGGAAAATCTGACCGTGAGAAGCACTCTTCGGAGTCCATAGGCTGTTCGGACAACTTTAATCAATCATACCTTCTCTGGGATTTTTTTTTTTGCAGGTGCAATTTTGTAGTATTTGAAATTGTTTCAGATTAGTCTCTATAATTACTTTGCCTATTTCTGAATTTGGTTCAAGAGCAGTAAGATTTTTTTTCGTCCCTATGATATGGTCCTCTTCACCAATATCTAAGTACCCATTCTTTTTCTTTATCGCACGACAAAAAACGAGTTGAACAAAATGGTGGACGTATCCTTACTATAAATCTACTATTTGCTTTGAAGATACGCTCGCCGACATCATAGCTATCTTCATCTAGATAGCTCATAAATACTTGTTGGCCAGTTGGTCCGATACCATTCATAATTTCCCAAGCAAAACACCGATCTTCCACCGAACAATATTTCCAATTAACGAAATTTACTTTATTTATTACTTCAAAGTCAGCCTTCAAATGCAGGCCGTCACTATAAATCATATGCTGCAGCTGCATTAATTTACCGTTCTCGAATATTTACTCCAAAGAATGCGAAAGCGAATGCGAATGTTAAAATTAATGCGGAAGCTTCACGGTTGCGAATGCGAATGCGAATATTCGCAACAACCCTTCTTCGTACCGTCAAAAAGTGACACTGAAGATGGCAAAACGCCGAAAGCGGTTGGTACCTAAACCAAAATCGACAAGATATGACTTCATAAAAACAACCTTTTTTAATATGGCTTGGCCCGGGATTGAACGTGGTTTCTGCCAGGTGATAGAGTACACCTCTGCGAGGAGATAACGGTCAAACAAAAAGCATGATTTGCCGCAAAGCATCGTCTGCCGGGTCTTCCACTGTGGTTATATTTTTTATTCGATTTTCAACAATGTAATACACTGAAAAATAATAACCTAATAACCCAGAAGATTTACAATACACAATATACAATATAAAACTTAGTCTTGCCAATTGGATAAGATTTCTTCTGGTAAATTAAAAAATTTTATGTATGTACATATTTCAGATTTTTTCTTTGGGCAATTTTGAAACACCCTTTGCTTGATTTATGAAACTTATACTGAATTTCCACTAGGCATTAAATGGCAAAATGAGAAATGACAACGTCGGGCATTAAAAAATAATAGTGTCGTTACACTAAAAAAACTAATCACTAAATTAATTTTCGCAAGGCATTTTTTTAAATGGCTTACATGTTTTGTCATTTCAATGACCAAGTGGAAATTCGGCATTATTCTCATATTTTTGGCATTATAAATGAAAACAAACTTTAAGCAATTTGGCCACTTTTTCTTTAGCGACCGATACAACACTCGCATGCTCATCAAAATGCTAACAAATCTCATCTGTATACCACATTTGAGATACCTATAACCAATTATTTCACACAGACTACTACATATGCAATTCTTTACAACTCATTCACTGCAATGAAGCATGCAAACACTCGTACATGTTTTATTTATAAACATTTTGTTTAGTCTTCCTTATTAAAGTACCCATCGAAGTAGAAATTTGAAAAAGTGAAAAACCAACATCACAAAACTGCTGCGTGCTTGCAAAAAATTAATAGGATGAACAAAAAAAAAGAATAATGTTTATAACAAAAGCATTTCTTTAGCTTAAGAATTCAATAATGCTTCGAAACAAAATAGAATAATGAAGCGTCCATCATGAAGCGTCGTTAGCATCGATGCTGGGCCAAACTGTGGATGCGCTTCAGTTGCTCAACTTATGCGAAACGGTACGGTCGATTCCACAGGCACGGAGCGCTCCAAAGAATCCAAGACAAAACGAAAGATAGAAAGAAGTAAACTTATTTAGTTATTTAGAAACCTATATACACCATACATATTTATATATGTATGTATGTATGTATGTGTGCGCATATGTGATTTTATTGTTGGCTACACAGTGTACAAAACATCGAAATTTATTACTTATTGCTGTTCGTCGCCATCGGCAATTGTGCGGCTTAGTGTTCGAAGTGTTACTAAGTTGTTCTTGTGTTGATATTTTATTGTTGTTTAAGCGCAGAGTATAGCATATAGCGCATGCGCGTACGTTGACAGCCGTTAGATGAACGCCCAATAACACAATAGCCTGCAAAGAAAGAGGTAAACACAAAAGCGGCGCGGTAAACAAAAGTTTGTATTGTGCGATTTAATAGCAAAGTTTACGGTAAAATTATTGTTTGAAAAAGGTGTATAGAGAACTCACATGCATACATATCTACGCCGCAGAAGCTGACCCAAATACATACAAACGTGTCTAAAATAATATTAGTCATAATTAATTTCATACTTCTTTTTTGTGATGAAACAAGCCTACGTCGAAGACAGTGTTTTGCGTGCATAAAAATTCAAATTTGACTCAATGCGACTGCGCAACTCACACCCAAATACTACCACCTGTAAAATAGTTAACACAGTGCACACTGCCAGCCACATAATGTATTCGTACTATTTGTTGCACTTGTTCATGCTTTCAACATATTGCTGCAGCGCGCAAGCACCAAACACGGTAGATTACTTACCGCTTGGCGCACTCGGCGCTGCTGTAGAAGCGGACGCAACGCGAATGACTATCGCGCTTCCGCAAGGTTTTAAACCAGAAGCGCCACCACACCAACCAATGCTATTGCCCTTTGCTACGCCAGCGCCAAGTATCCCGTCTGGCGGCTGGAGGCCCATAGTTGGCGATGCAGTAACACCACCTCACAGCATTATAATGACACCACCAACGCCGCTGGTACCTCCACCGCTTGCAGTGCTGCAGGATCGCATCGATTTGGGATCGCGCGAGGAAAACGTCGTACAGCAAGATGGTCCCTTATTAGAGTCGATTGTATATGGTACATGGAAGCCGCCGGAACGTCCGCTGAGTCCCGACGAAATTCAAAAACCTACTGCGCCACCCGTTGCTGCTACGACAGCTATGTACAGCCGCAAACGCCGTAAGTTGCACTCATTTTAAATTGCAGTATCTAACTGTTTCTTGTGGTAAGTGCTAAAGAATAGATTTGTTAAAATTTACAGCTGCAGCTTCATTGGAACGTCTTGGCGTCGAGCATCCGATTGCTGGCATACAAACTGCCGGCGCAGCACCATTGAATCAGAAATATGAACGCAAACGCATATCGACGACGACACGCGCACAGCATCACGCCGCCTCTCCACCAACCAAATACTACATACATTTCAATATGTCCGATCCGAATATACTGGAGATGGTCAAACAAATAAATGATTCAATTGACGAAACTTCGGCGCACTTACATACACTGAAAAAGCATACTTGGAAGCATCAGGAAACTTCCGAAAGTTCACTGGAAAATGAAAGTGAAAATGAAAATGAGAATGAAGCGAAATCAGAATCAGAAGCCGAGTCGGAAACGGAAATGCCAACCGCTGACGTTAGCAAAGTTTGGCCAACAGATTTCATAGCTTCATTGGAACGCCAAAAGCTAACACAACAAAACGTCAGTTATAGTTTTAATGGAGATAGCTCTGATCCGCCGCAAGCATTAAATGGATTAAATATACCAAGCTCCTTGATGCCGGCGTTTAACATCACCAGAGTTGGCGTACCTTATGAAAAACAAAGCCCTGCCGAAGAGCCAGCATTATGTGTACCGCTAACAGTACTTGAACAGGCAGGCGAGGGGGAGGTAATGGAAGTAGAGCGAGTTTATTGCTTTCCACTACCCCCAAGCCATAAAGACACATCGGTAAGGGACGGCACAAAGGCAAAGGTGGAGAATTATACCGAATATGAGGGGATAAATGCGACGGAGCGCCTCAATTTGAGTTTTTATATACAGATTTTGAGCTTAATTTTAAGTATAATGAATTTCGTTAAACTTAAATTTTCTTGAAAAAAAAATAAAAATTGTATTTTTTATAATAAATTTACGAGTATTATTTAACATAAAATTAGATAGTCAAATCGCCAAATTAGAGTTTCTCATAGCATATTTTCACCGAAAGCTTAATTGCAGTAAAGAGCTTTATTAAATCTCCCTTTATACTAAACATTTCCACCGCTTAAAGTAAACTCTAGCATAAAGTAATCTACAAATTGTGCCTAAAGGTGTATACATTAGGGTGGTCCTTAAATGTAGGCAGAGATATAGCAANGTATGTTTGTTTGGGTCAAATCTGGCAATCCATTTTTAACCTACTTCTTGATGACCTAGGGACTTGAAAATTCACAGCAGGCTCAAAACGCCAACCACAATGCAATACGAAACATGAATTAATCCGATAGGTGGCGCAGGAGTCGAGATATTTCAAAAACCCGTATTTGTAATCCGATTCGGTTCATATTGGCTGCATTTCTTTATACATTCCGGATAATCTCATTTCACAGCCGGAATAAACAGAATGTGTTTGAAAAATACGTTAACATATCATCATGAACGTTCTAAAGAATAAGTAAATAAAAAAGTTTATTCCAAACGTTCAGAATGAATAAAGAAATTCAGCCATTGTATTAATTAGATGAAAAGGAATAACTCCAAAAAATGTTGCCGATAAATGATGCTGGAAAACGAAGCCTAAAATGTACCCCATAACTATAAACAAATGTACAAAAATGTATTCCTTTATTTTATTATTTATTTATTTACTTATTATGCATTCAAATCGCAGCTGACAGCAATTTGAAAGCGTCAGAGATGGGGAAAAGAACTAGCATAACATTAAAATCACAAAAAAAAATGTAAGTCAACTCAGAACTCCATATTATGTAAACAACCCGAATTTCAAGTGGATAGCATCAAAAACAACGACGTTGTTGTGAGTCGGTCAGATCGGGTATATGACGGCTATATGATATAGTACCTCGAACCAAACGAACTTTGTAAAGTATATCTAAATTGAGTTTCGCTCTGATATCTTCATATTTAGACTTTATGCAACAATAATCAATTTTTAGCCTAGTACGCTTATTTTTCTGTAGGATCCATTTTAGGTTCTTTTGGAATGATTTTTCAGGTCTTTTTACTTATTCTTTCGGTTATTCTAATCATTCATCATTTCCCGGTTCTTCAGGAACCGATTTTCGGTTCTTTTAGGATCGAGTTTCGGTTCTTCCAGAACCGATTTTCAGTTCATTTCGAATTGAGTTTAGGTGCTTCCGAAATTGTGTTTCGTTTTTTTTTGGAGAACCGTTTTTCGGTTCTTTTGGAATCGAGTGTCGGTCCTTACGGAGCGGTTTTTCGGTTCTTGTAAGAACCGAACCGGTCGGTTCTTTAAAGGACCCGGTTCTCCTGTTCCAGTTCCTCGATTCTGTGCATCACTAACAGCCACCGCGCCAAAGAACTGTCAAATATCCCCACGCCCAATTTTTATGAAACATACCACAATAACGCAGCGCTTGGATCTACACTATGTTTCGTTCGCGTGAAATTACATTGCCCTTGGGCAACACTGATCAGAGTCATCAGAGGCTTTTCGCAGAGTAGAGTCGTTTCTCCCTTGCTTTGGTCACTTGTGATAGGCGACCTTTTAATTAGACTACATGAGTGTGGACACGATGCTGTGGGTTCCGCGGATGACCTGGAAATTATAGTAACGGAAAAACTCAGCAGTGCTGTCTTTCCAATTAGCGTCAGTTGGCACTGAGGAGAAACGAATGGCTTGCTGTTTTGGCCTCGGCGAAATCGCTTAGGCGGTTACAGCGCCAATAGAAAAGAAGAAGAGGAAGAAGAAATAGAATTGGGAAGAAGCTGCTGATCTTTGTCAACTACTCATATAATTTGTTTGAGTCCATGCGGTAGAGAGGAGTGCCAAATGGTGACGAAAGCTTTCGACAGGTCCAACCTAACCACGTGTTTATGGAAGTGTTGAGCAAATTTCTCCGGTTTAAGTAGTGCGACCACTCTCCACAAATCAGGAATAACAGAATAGCAATCGAGATCGAGAAATTGTGAACCTTTAGGTATTCTACTGTTACTCAATTTTGTCTGCATCAGTATGCCTATTTCGTCGGGGTCATTGGCTTTGGAGGCTTTTGTTTTCCCGATGCCCACCATCCCAACTTCTCTGTTGATTAAAGTAACGCACGCTGTAGATTTTATCAGATTCCTGATCACGAAATTTTTGGCCTATTCCCCCAAAGGACACCATATAAAGTGTCCTCTGAAGTAGTTCCACGCTTCGGATCTGACAAGGTGCGACCACCGGGATCATTCTGGCGAAGATGGTAACATTTATACACCAGTACACCGATAAGACGATGCCACTTGCGAGCTTGATAGAAGGGTTGACGTGCGAAGCAACTTCGTCTCTTGGGCCATAGCTAAGAGTATTCCAATCCGACACATGACAACGTTTACTTCTTCAGTCTTACTCTGTGGTGCATTGGATTTCAATTACAGTATTTTAGTCTTCTTAGGTGTCTGGCATCGATTCGAGAAGTGTGGAATAAAAGGGGTTGGCTACCTTGTACTTATTCTTCTTGCCGCTTATGTAGTTATGCCTATTGGTGGTCGTTGGCAGTATCGCGACAACATAAATCTACAACACTCTCAAGGGAATTAGAGCGGTATGAAGGTTGTGGAGGAGTAGGAGTTTTGTTGCTCATGAGAGCTTAAGCCATAGAAACTCCCTGGGCTAGAGGGTACCTGTGCGAGTTGTTGGCAGCTGTGGAGGCTGTGAGTGCCCTTTAGATCTGGCAGCAAGGGGCCACCAACCGTTTGGTAGAGTCCTTTTGTGGTCTGACGCCAGAAGAGGTATTTTGATGCCTTTTTGGGGTTCACGGATCCAAATGGGGTCAAGTCGCAGGGACGAAAAACCATGGTCGGGAGCTATTCCGGTGCATTGAACCGGCTGTCGCGGGAATTTAGATACCTTCATCTGTTTAAGTTGGAATGGAGCCTTCTTAGACATATTCAGCAGATATAGGTTTCTAGTCTGGGGTTGGACCCGATACCAGGCAAAATTAAAAGAGTCCGAAGCCACTTCGCTGCATCTCAACCACAGCGCTTGATAGAGTAAACCCAGTAGAACTCGAGTAGAACTGTTAGGGCCGGTTGTTCAATGTCTGATTAGCACAAATCGGAGGTAGAAGCTCCGGTTAAGCACAACTACTGCTTTATCGATCACATGTTACATGCATGATGTTGAAATCGTCGATAGTGTAGTGGTAGTGATAACCAGACATTGAACAACCGGCCCTCAGTCGTGATAAAATATAGTCGAATTTTTGTTTCAAGAAATGTAACCTTCTGCCACTCTAAGTACTTGTGTCGTTTATATGACTCTTCAGATTTTTCTAGCAGAAAAGTAGCAGAATAATAGTTTTGCCTGGCGCTCATTTGCTGGTTTTTTGAGTTGAGAAACACTTACTATCAGAATATAACTTATGTATGTCGGCAAATTGATTTAAATTTTTTATTAGTCTGTTCCAATAGCAGTCCGGTTTACAGGATTTAGTCAGAACTTACAGGAAGTCGTTCCTATTGACATGAAACCTGTAAGTGGGAACACATTTGAGAGTGTAACTGAGCAACTGTTCCTAGTCAGAAGTTACAGCATTTAGTCCGGAGTATTTTTTCCTGTAAGTTCATGAAAAGTGTCAAACGATCAGCTGATTTACATGTGCAAACAAAAACTGAACGCGGTGAAAGCTAAGAACCTTTTATTTGTTAAAAAATGGGAGTAAACAACGAAATATTTGAATATGTATAGATTTTAATAATTATTCAGTGATATTTCAGCTAAATCAGTGTTGTACAAATGACATGTAAACAAACCGACTGACGTTTTTACAGGAAATAGTGCTTTTTGCGTTCCTATGCACTTCTGCATCTGTTCTCCTTTTACTCTCATTTGAGAGAGTAAAATTGTAGTTTGACAGTTCCACAGGTTTTAGTCCGAAGTTCAAAGGAACAGACTAAATATGTATATACATAATTCTATTTTACGAGAGGCAGCGTGCGTATTTTGCCAACACTGTGCGAATAACATACTACAATACACAACACCCTGTTAACTACCCAGGTGTGAAACAGCTGATCAGCTGTAAAGGTTTATCATTTGGCACAAACAATTCGCGGTCATCACGTCAGAATTTAGGAAACTTTTTCGACCTCGATCTTGAACTAGAACGTGCTGTCGTGAGCAATATTTTACATAACGATGAAGAGATGACAAAGAAATTCTAAATCAGACTACAACTAATTAAAATATACACTTAACTAAATTTCGCTGCAGTCTTAAATCATTAAGTTGTCGCATTGTGTGTGCCTCGTTGGTGATTACAAAACAATAGTGCAAAATGATGAAGGCAATACGCATAAGCTCCCGTTTGAACCTTGGCGCTGATTATCAACAAGTACTTCTGGCACTACATACGCAAACCTTCGCTCAAAGGCGGCATATAAGCCCCTTGTCTGTGTACAACAAACGCGTTGAAAGCAAGGAATTGATGCCAGACACTGAACAGGAAGCGACTACGCAAAGGCTGGAAGCACTTTACAATAGCATACAGAGTTATCGACCAGCTCAGAAAGCTACTGGCGGTGGGTTTTTAAGCTCTTTACTCAGAGGCGGTAGAAATAAAAATGGAGTGGAGTTAAATGTAGGCGACAATGTACCTCAAGGACTGTATATATTCGGAAGTGTTGGCGGTGGTAAAACTACTCTAATGGATATGTTCTTTGATGCATGCACTGACGTAAGAATATACTTATGTACAATTTATTTGAAGGCCTTTTTAGTTTCATTTTGTATGAACTATTTAACATTAGATTAAAAAAAAGCAGCGTGTCCATTTTAATTCATTCATGACGGATGTACACAAACGAATACATGTCACGAAAGAGCAAAGAGGGCCTGCTGACCGCGCCTTTAACACAGAAAGCCCAATACCTTATGATCCCACACGTCCGGTAGCTGATCAAATAATAGCGGAGTCTTGGCTTATTTGCTTTGATGAATTCCAAGTGACTGATATTGCGGATGCTATGATATTAAAACGTTTATTCACTCATTTATTTAACGATGGCCTTGTCATGGTAGCTACGAGTAATCGACATCCTGAGGAATTGTACAAAAACGGTTTGCAGCGTAGCAATTTTCTGCCTTTTATCGATATATTGCAGCACCGTTGCAAGGTTAGCGAATTGAACAGCGGCATTGACTATAGGCGCATTGCTCAATCGGGATCAACAAATTACTTTGTGTATGTATAAAATAATGAAACAGATTTGTGATAAATAATACTATTATTGATACTATTATTTCTTAACATGTACATTCACTTTAGCAAATCGGAAACGGACGCTGATGCCGAAATGAATCGCATGTTCAAAATTCTTTGTACACAGGAAAATGATATTGTGCGACCACGCACCATAACCCATTTCGGAAGAGATTTGACTTTTCAAAAAACTTGCGGACGTGTCTTAGACAGCAGCTTCAACGAGCTCTGTGATCGCGTAGGTGACAACAATGCATAAACCACTCTGACCTTGTTTATTATATGATTTCTTTGTACTTTAGCCTCTGGCGGGGAGTGATTACTTGCAAATTGCACAACTTTTCCATACAGTGCTGATAAACGATGTGCCTAAGATGAATTTATTTATTAAGAGTCAAATGCGTCGATTTATTACGCTAATTGATACGCTTTACGATAATCGTGTGCGCGTGGTTATCTCCGCCGAAACGCCGCTCGCATCACTTTTTGACATTACAGACAAGCCAGCAGGTCTAGCGGATTCGGAGCGTACTTTAATGGACGATTTGAATATTCAGCAGGGCTCTGTGAGTAAAATGGAGGAAGTACCAATAACATACATATATTTTAATACGCTTATTTTTCCTATAATCCTATAGAAAGAATCTACGGCTAATTATTTTACTGGCGACGAAGAAGCTTTTGCATTCGATCGCACAGTATCGCGCTTATATGAAATGCAAAAGAAGGAATATTGGGAGCAATGGGCTAAGCATCGTTGAAAAGTTGTCTATATTGTTCGAACAGCACACAACTTGGCCAGTGACCATACATGCATACATATGTACTTAATTTAAATTTTAGTTAAAGACCAAAAACATCATTTTAAGTTAAACAAATTTGTCAGGCTTTTTTGTAGTTTAATGTACTCTGATTCGAGTATATTTTAATATTTTTAGGCTCAAAGCTTAAAATTAATATTTAACTACATATATTTACTTCGTTAGTCGAAGCAAACTCTGCCACATATTTAAAGAAAAAGCTTTAATAATAGTATTATTCAGAAAATATTTATTTGCTAAAGCAATATTAGCCAATTTTAAGTCACTAAGAGATAGCAATTACTGTACAACGATAAAAGCAATAAAATGTTCATACATGTACATATGTAAAAAAAGGTCGTTTAAATATTTATTCATTTTTAGATATCTTTTACATCTTTCAGGCTAAGCCGTCTTAATAGATGGAAAGTTTAACACAAAATACTTTTTATCTCGTTTTTTAACATTTTGAAGCCAAATCATAGAATTATGACTCATAAAAACAACTTTTTTTGTTTTTATAAACTTCTTTTTCATAACCCAAAAATGAGATTTTTCAGCACACACTACACTAGTTTTTTTTTACTTACGACAGTAGTATCACGAACGATAGGCAAAACGAACGATTCATCTGCAGACGACAACCTCTCTGATTGCGATTTTAAACTCTATCGGCCGTCTTCGTCTTGCTTTTGATACATTACGTTGCAATGGTCTCGGTTGCGTTTAAACCGGTTAAAATGATGCCGCCGGACTAATTTTTGAAGCATTGCTCTGCAGACGAATCGTTCGTGTTGCCTATCGTTCGTGATACAGAATAAGGCTGTTAATGTCTGTTTACCGAATGTAGCGTGCCAAAGAATCTGACAGCTGACTGCTGCCAGATTCTGATTAGAGTTGTTGATAGCTGTTCACGCACCGTCATTTCTTATCAACAAGTGCACTGGAACAGAAGATTCGATAATTAGTATATGTATTAAATATGAAAGTGAACGCAATTTTACCATTTGGTACGTATAAAGTCCTAAATAGAAAATATTTCCATTATAAATCAAAACAACAAATTTTAGACGAGTCGCTGCTCGATTGTGTGATCTCTAGTCGTCAGTTGGAACAAATTGCTGCAGAAATTTCCAAGCGGGGCAGCGTATCGGGCCTTAATCGAGTAGTATGGGCGTTAAAAGCACTTACCTTGACCGATTCGACCACGTTGGGCGGCGATGACACCGCTGCCAACGTTCGCAGTCTGTGCCAGCGCGCTGCATTTCCTATACCAGAGCATATATTGCTGCAGCTTGGTGTCGAACCGACACTCCTTCCGCATATACACACGGCCGCCGTATGTGTATATCCAGCGCGTGTTGTCGATGCCACTGCGAAGTTGAAGCAATTAAACAAATATGATGTTATACCAATAGCGTCCGTGGCAACCGGCTTTCCAGCTGGGCAATATGGGCTGGATTCGCGTCTGAGCGAAATCCACTTTGCTATTGAGTCAGGGGCCACCGAGATTGATATTGTTATAAATCGTCAATTGGCACTTGTAGGTGATTGGAAGGGTGTGTACAACGAGGTGTGCGCTATGCGCAAAGCTTGTGGTGGAAGAGCGCATTTGAAAACAATATTAGCCATAGGGGAACTGGGTAACATGGAGAATGTAAAATAATTTTGTTTTACTGTGTATATAAAGTGATAAAATTATAATTTTCTAATTCGTTCAGGTATATAAGGCGTCTATGGCCTGCATGTTAGCTGGCGCTGACTTCATCAAAACATCTACCGGCAAGGAGACTGTAAACGCAACACTCCCAGCTGGATTGGTAATGATTTATGCTATACAAGAGTTTGAACGCCGCAAAAACATTTTGGTGGGGCTAAAGCCAGCGGGTGGAGTGCGCACGGTCCCCGATGCAATTGCTTGGCTTACACTCGTGAAAGAAACTTTGGGCGCACGGTGGTTACAACCTAATCTTTTTCGCTTTGGTGCATCTGGACTGCTAGATAAAATAGTGGAAGCTGTTAATGAGCATGTCAAAGGTCAGCAAGTGGCAGACAGTAACAGTGCTGACGCCAAGGTAGCTGCAAAATAATTAATGCAGTTATGTATTAAAATTTTCATTCTGGAAATGCAGACATTTAATCTTAAACATTTTGATAAAATATTTCGCACGTTTAATAATATAACCAAGTATGTCAAAATTTCAATTTTGTGGGAAAACGCAATCAAAGTTTTACCAATTCATACAAATGGTATAGAAAAAACAGATGGAAAGACACCTATCTTCGCTATATTTGGGAAGTTTGGTTATCTGTTAGGCTGAACATATTCTACATATCAAGCTTATTAAATGCATAATGACATCTCCAAAAACGTAAATTTCGAGTTACATCTCTATATCGCTAGTTTAGAGTGAAAAGTAGCTAAGTTCCAATTTAAAAATTGTACAGGAGAGGGAAAAAACTTGTATAGCCATTTTCTGCAAGTATTTCGCAAAACTTTCCCTGTTTAAAGCAAAGCCAAACTCTATACGAATCAGAAAGTTTTGATCTTTTTAAAAGATTTCGACCTATTTTAGCCTTATTGCATTTTCTGAGCTTTTTTAGACTTAGCAAAATTTCATTTCTATGAATATAAACGAGAAAACATAAAACAAGGGCCTTCATTTTCGAATCGACGCATTTTTAATTTCTCCAGCAAATTTTCACTCTAAGCTATTATATTATTAAACGTGCGATATACATATTTTTTTTTTCATTCGACTATTAAACTTTAAATTATTGGATGTCATTTTAACCTCTCAAAGACTGGTATCTGCTGGTATCTAAAGCACAAGTGATTTTGCTGCCAATATTTGCATCGCCATTTCAGATGTGTTGATTTTATTTGAAATTATACCCCACACACATTGGTTTTTTGGTAAATTTTTACAAGATACCTATTTATGTACATTTGATTTACATGATAATAATAAATTATGACTGAACCTTTTAACTAGACTTTGGACACGCGGTGTGCTACTTGCCCAGCGGCCGAAGCCAATAAGTCCTCCTCGCCACCCTCTTCCCCCTGATTGAGAAACTCTTCTTGCGCCTGCGTACCATTGCTCTCGACATGTTCCTCCTTATGGGGTTGATTATTGGGTATTTTCACTTGCATATCAACGCCAAAGAAAGAGTCGTCAAAATTAATACGATTGCGTTCATCGTGAAGTAAATATACTGCTTTCGGCAATCGACCACTAGCATCGCTTAAGGCTTCCTTTTCGAAAGCATTTAACCATTTTACATTAACTTGTTTGGTACCAGCATTAAATTTTTTCGGTAACTTTTTAGGTTTTGCAGCATAGTAATTGGTTTGATCACCTCCTTTGCCTGGAGCTGGTGGTGGCACAATATGCTCCAAACGTTTACTCTTGGTATCCAATTTGCCATGATCATAATCGAAGAGTGGCATGTAGAAATTGAACGGTTGCACCAAGGGCGGTTGAATTTGCCGATAGGGAGTTGCCACTTCAGAAGCAGCAACTAAAGGTTGTAATTGACTTTTTTGCTGTGATGCCGTTGATTTTGATTCGTCTGAAAGGTAGGCATTTGGTCGGAAGAGTTCACCCGCACGACGCAGCAATGATTCGAAATCCTCAAGTGTAATATAATGCGGTTGCATAAGTTGCATATCTTCAATAGGATATTTTGGTGTAACAGTAACTGTTGCTGCTTGACTGTGAGACATTGACTGTCGCTCAGATAGCTTTGATGGTGCTGCTGCAACGATGCCTAACATCAATAGCCAATGAAACTGAAGGAAAATAATAGGCCAATGAAATTTATGCAACTAAATAACATTTTGCACACTCACATAAATCACGCTTTTAGTCATCATTCACGTATTTGTACTTTTTAAAATAACGATAACTTCGATACAGCTTCGCTTACTGACTCGTAATATAGTACAATCACCGCGTCGGAACGTTAAATAAAACTCCAGCAGGCGCACAATGCCATTTATATCATAGGAAAAGCGTCACAACAGAAAAGAAAGCATGTGGGATAGTTATCCACACATATACCAAAAACGGAAGCTCGGAAGTCAAATCAGCGCGGGCAACTCAAACCAGTCTGTATACAAAGTGGGAAATTAAGTAAATAGTGCGCTCTTGCAGTGGTATGCCTGCCTGCCCACGGGGAAGTGGAACCTTGCATAGTGGATTGGTTAGTGAACTTATTTAGCTGTCTTTAATGTGTGTTTTTGTATTATTAAAAGAAAAATAGTTAATATAAGTGAGTATATGGTTAAATAATAAAAAGTATGCGAACAACTTAAATTCATTTAAAGTTTTTATTTTGCAAAGCTAGTCTGCAAACTGCTCCCAACCAGCATCAGCTAATTCAACAAACAGCGATCGTAATGATGTTAATGTAACACCAGCAAAAATTACTGTCAAACACGACAAAACCGGCCGCGAAAAGCTTGCGAAAACTGGAACCAACTGTCGCGTGTCTGCTTTGGATGCGAAATAAAACAAAGATGCTATTGTTTAAACTGGCTCTGATAGATGCAGAAAACAAGTCGCACAGCTAAAGTCAATAGTAGCGGCTCAAAATGCGCACGCTCATATGTACATATGTACATACATACATACATACATAAGTGCTGCGAATATTTAAGCTAAGGAAACATGCAGGTTTGTATGAATTCACTTATGGTGTGTATACATGCAGGCAATTGTTGATATGAGCATATTTAACTAAAAGAAGTAAAAAGCGAACGAACGAATTTTAAGAGCGATCTTTTAATGCGAAATATAGTCAGTATTTCCAATGTAGCAAGCATAGCATTTCAAAAATTTTCCTGCCACGAGCTCGCAAGAGTACATTGACATGCCGTTGAAGCTGCATATTTATTTTACCATTATAATCAGCCGCGAAAGTGACTACTGCATCTCACACCTGCAATAATCAAAGCTGCAATCTTAGTGAACTTGCTCGCATCTAAATACAAGTTCAAAGTTATTACAGCTTGATTTTAAGTAAAATCATAGACAACTATGGACGCAAGTCATAGACAACTATGGATGCAAAGATATATATATATTTTTTAGCTTATACTCAAACAGGAAATATTAAACAATAATGCAGCTACCAACATACAAGGACGCAGATGCAATATAAACGATGAAATATGTTTTGAAAAAGTTTCGCGTTAAGAAGTTAATTGTTGTATGCGACAAAATGAAAATACCTGCTTATAAAAAAAAAATATTGTATTACATAAAATGAAATACAAACAAATGATGATAATGAAAATCTGGTATTTTATACTGAATATACAATATGTAATGGGAAAATAGTAGGTTGAGCTGGCTGTGTTAGACCCAGTCTTACGCAGAAACAATTGAAATCGTAATTTTCCACAAATCATCTTACTTAAAACCAAATTAGGTTTATCGCGAATTCCACGTAAAAAACTATGCATTCTCAAAATTTATACATGGTATTAGCAATCACCTGATTTTCCATTATACGAATGCAAAACAATTTATTCATTCATTTTTACTTACTCCAGTTATAAAATATTTCGTTAAATCTTCCTTTATTTCTAAGCAATCACTACTAAACTCGTACCAGCTCAGGCATGCCTTCCATGATAATTTGTAATGCTTTCAAGTCCTTTGTTACGACTTCTGTCAGTACTTCCATCGCTTTCTGCTGCATAGCCAAAAATGATTTCATTTCCTCCTCACTATCCTTGTCTATAGCATATTCACTACCACCGCTGAAAGCATATTGATTGCGTTGCATGCGCATTTGGGATAAAAGTTCGCTGAGACGTCCCTATAAACACAAATTAATGTTTGTTGAGGCATGACACGTTAAAAATTACAAGTTTATCCACATACCTTAAATTGTGTTGGAGCTGATACTAAGGCTTGCATATTTTCGAGCTTTGTTCGTAGCGCCTCCTCTTCTGGTGTTAATGCCAGTCCGATTTTGCGAGTGCACTCTTGCTTTACGATAATCTATACATAAGAGCATTACATCAAATCGTTTAAATAAATTTTGTTTTCATAAAAAATAATTTAAAAAAATGACATACTTTTAATATATTATGACTTAATTCTGCTAATTTTCGCTTGTGCTCCATTATTCTTGCTGTTGCTGCAGTATGTCTTTGCCTTAATTCAGCCAAGTCCTTTTCTACTTTCTTTAGGTAGAGCGCATGTGTTTCTGTTTCATGCTCTTGACACTTTGTGCGCCATTTGAGGTCATTGAACCCGATCATTGGTACTGGTATGAACTTAGATTTGTCTGGGTTATCCAATTTCGCTTGACGCCACATGCGCGGATCAATGCCCTTTGGTGGATTCTCTAAATATTCTTTAAGTTGATCTTCGTCGGGCAAAACCAATGCCAGCACTTCAGCAATACCAAGAGTGGCTAATTGTGCTTTCATGTTCGCCTGATTGAGATAGCTGGAAACTTCGGTGGCGAGTATACGTTTCGTTTCGTTAGGGGACATTTGGGAGCGCTCCTCTACGTATATGACTAACTGACACTTATTCTGTTCATGCTCTTTGCTGGACTCAATATTTATAGCCAAGTTCGGTTTATTTCCAAAGATGCTGTTAAGTGAGGTCATAATTTGCTGTTGTTGAGCTCTAAAAAAATGTGTTTACATGTTAAAAGACATTTAAAATATGCAGTTATGTGCTAATTGTTTTCTCACTTTACATCCACCGGTTTATTAAAATTCAGCGCGACCAATCCCATTTTATTATCTTTTCCCGGTAAGCGGCTATAGCCCATTGCTTTGAAACGGCATAAATAATTTTGGGGCGTAATTTCGACCGAAACGGCATTTTGTGAGTAAAATGATTTTCCGGTACCCCACAGAGCTTGCAGGTAATTCCATTTGGCAATAATGGTGTCACGTTCATCACCATAAATCGAAACATTGAAAATGGATTGAGCGAAAGCTTCATCTGGTGATAACTGTGGCACTTGTTGCTGCGGCTGACCTAGCATGAAGTTCGTGGCGCCACCGAAGCCACTAAATCCGGGTGTAACCGTTGGAGCGGCAGGTTTACCAAAAGCTAAAAAGTTCTTTTTAATAAATATCACTTTTTTGTTGACGTGTAAATGAGGAACATACATGAAGCGAATGTACTCCCGCCGGTACCAAAACCACCGAAAGCACTTGCTTGCGTACCGAATCCACCAAAGGCCGGAGCTGTTGTTGTTGTTGATGTGGCACCAAATCCACCAAAACCCGAACCACTAGTGGCGGCAGTCGTTCCGAAACCGCCGAATGAAGGTGCTGTGGATGTTGCCGCACCAAAACCTCCGAATCCTGTTGTGTTGGGAGCTGTTGCAGTACCACCGAAGAGAGAGGGTGCAGATGAAGGTGCAGCGCTGCCAAAACCTGCGCACAGAATATTCTTTAAGTTGATCTAAATCAATTAGATAGAATTACGATATTTTTACCTGTAGTGCCAAAAGCGGATGTACCAAACGCCGGTGCAGCGGTTGATGTCGCTGTGCCGAAAGCTGGAGCAGCAGCCGCACTGCCAGTGCCGAACGACGAAAATATGCCACCAGCTAAAAATGTAATAAGGGTTTAAAGTATATTTGAAAAGATTAGGCAGTGAGTAAAAATTTAAAGATAGCGCATATGATGAAACATTGCTTATCAGTATTTCCTTTAGAGCTAAGCTTATTCTAAAAATTCTCAGTGTTGTTTCTAAGCTTCGAAGCGACAGTGGCGCAAAAGCTATTGAATAGATTCGTAATGAGTGTTATTTTATCAGTAGTCTTGCTCACACTGTGTGCACCAATTGCTTATGTTGGTTATGTAGTTTACAAAAAAGGGTAAATATGCAATTTTAAAACTAATGAAGAATATAGATGAGATGTCTATAAATATATTTATTTATTATAGCATCAATATAAAGGAGGTTCGTATAAACAGCGTTGATGACGCCAAGCGCCTGCTGACACCTCCAAGAACTGACCGACCAATAAAGTATCTACAAAAGGCTGCATGAATACGTTTATATACTTACGTTTTGCGGGCGTGCTTGTTGCACCCAGTGAAGTGCTTCCGCCGAAGAACGACATCTTTACACACTATGTAATACGATTTTTATGATTTTATTAAATAGCAATGCAGTAATTTTGTACTGGGACCACGAAAATTTTGTTGTTAGGCCAAAATGAACATTTTCCACCATTTATTTCTGCATAAATTCTATATTGGCGCTTTCGCTGGCAGATACAAAATGTCACAAATTCACTGTGAATTAGTTATGGCATGATTAATCGAAAAATCGATTTTAATCGGTTATTTTCTTTTGGTTAACGATTAAATTGTATCGCAATTTTCTGTTCGACTTATCGAATGATTAACCGATTAATTGCATTTTGCTGTAATAATATTGGATGGGCTATAGAAATGCATACTACAAATTTTTCTAAGGAATCTAATAAAAAAGCTGGATATTTTTACGAAAGTTAGTTGAATTTGTTTAATATTACACAAAGGTTGAACTTGGATTCATACGCGTTTTATTAAAAAATTCACACATTTTTATAAAAATTAAATAATAAAAAGTTTGATTCCTAAAACTTGCCAATGTGGGAAGGGCTAATAATTTCGACATGGGGTGTATTGGTTTACTACTTTCCAACTTTTCATTTTCATTGTTTTTTCGGTTGTTTACGCACCGAATCTTAGCGTAAGTTTCCACCATTTTACAAGAAATGTATCCTTTAATAAAACGGTCAATTTTTATAACTTATGAAATGAAATGGTTTTTATTTATTCTCGATTTTAATCGAAACGACCGAATAATCGGTTAATTTTCTACGATTAATTGTAATTAATAGTCTAATGCTTTCAATTAACCGATTAATCGATTATTCAATTTTTTTGGTTATTAAGCTCGTCGGCGATTTCAAGCATCCGTTGTTGGTTAAACTATGTTCACATATCAATATTACCTCAATCAAAGCTCGTTTTTTAATCACCCCGTTTACACAGGCAAATCTCAGATTATTAGCCGTCAAATTTGTTGTGCTTGTTATTCTCACATCTCAAGGAAAAGTT